CATGATCTACACATCCATGTATAGAGTTACTTATTTTCAAATTGATTACTTCCTTCCTTTCTTTGGAAGATTCCCTCATCCCCCTTTTTTTGTATCAAGATGGAGTAGTAGAAAGCCAAAAACTTTCTTTCCCAAAAATTAATCACTCCCAAAAATATAACCCCTTCAATTCAGTATTTTTTATATAATTCAGTGTTCATATAAAATCATTTGTATATTTAATTCCATAACAAATAGGTGGGGTAAAAACCAAATAGGTAAAAGAGTTTTTGTATAATGCAATATGCAATGTTCATATAAAAGTATGCATTTCGAAAGCATGTTTTCTTTAGTATAATTCAATGTTTATATGAAAGTGGTTGTTTCGAGAGGGCTTTTCGCTCAGTTCGTATCTGAAAGTTATTTCTTTGCAAGATCTATCCATTTTTGGAAATACTTCATTTTGATATTATTAGCTTTCTTCTTCTCTTTGGAAGATTCCCGAATATTTTGTATAAAAATGATGAAGAAGAAAGTCAAAACATTTCTTTTCTAAAAATTCATTTCTCCTAAAATTATACACCTTTCAAGTCGAACTTAAATATTTAGGCCTGATAATGAAAAAAAAAATGTTACTTCTGAAAGTCATATATATAGAACCTGACTATACCACTGACGGAAGCAATCTGAAGGAGTAGTTTCTAAAATACAAAAAATTATAATTATTATCGAATTGTATATTTTTTGTAATTTGATCATCCTGTACTAAAATAAAAAAAATGAACATTTAATGACTAGGTATCTTCATTGGTTGATAGTTTTTCGAGCATGATGTTATATGCAAAAAGCCATCTTCGGAATCGTACAAAATGACTAAACTATTCAACATTCTTGATGAAGCTGAATTCATACAGTGTCATCCCCAAAGAATGCACCATAAGGGAAACTTATTTATTAAGGGTTTTTCGACAAAAAGTTATTCTTGATGAAAGTGTGTGTATCCCCTCAAACTGAACATGTATTAACAAAATACAGAACACACGTAATATACAAGGAGCCTTCAAATATTTGATTTTGAGACAAGAGAACAGTACTCTTATTTTGGAAAATCTCGGGGAATGTTATTTGGAAAAGTTGTTCACCATTGAAAAATACATCTAGATTTGAATCGTTACTCTTGTCTCAATATCAAATATTTGAAGGCTCCTCGTATATTACATGTGTTTTACTGTATTTTGTTGGTGCATATTTAGTTTTAGGGTATGTACAAACTTTTATTGAAAATAACTTTTTGTCGAACAAACCCTTAATAAATAAGTTTCCCATATGGTGCATACTTTGGGGATGACACTGTATATGTAGGTATACCCAATCTGTTGAAAAAAATATTCGAAAGTAACTCTAAATTGCATTATGAACATTGAAGAAAATAAACGTATTTCACGAAAAAGTTGTTCATTTTAATTGAAACTTATTATGTTAACTTCCTCATAACAGCATATATGCCTTGGAAGTTCAATATTGGGTAAAAACCAAGAGGGCCAAACTAGTTTCTGAAACGGGTTTCATTGCAATTGAAATTGACAAATCTTTTTTCATACAAATTCGTATCACTTCTTACCTTGTTGCGGTAGAGGTTGAACATCCAACTGAGTTGGCGGCATTTCCAGTAGTTTTTCAAGATTTTGTGGAGCTGCTACCGCTTGTAAGTGAGTTTCTTTTTCTAGCTCTTCAAACTCTCGCAAACTTTCTGGTGACATGTATGGAACTCTGTCAGAAGGAGCACATACTTTTTCATAGGTTTTCTCCAACTGTTCAAATTCGTCAAACGATTCATCCGGACAGTAATAGGGACAGATCTCGGCGGGTTGTACATCTTGTACACCAAGATCATATTCTTGTTCAGCAATCTTTTCCATTAATTCAAATTCTCCCATATATTCATTATAATGAGGAGGAGTAGCCGCTGTGGGCATCTGTGGTGGAGGACTTGAAAAGCCAACAGGTTGAGGAGAAGCAGCTCGACAGGGTCTTGGTTGCCTTCTAGGTACGGAAGGAGTTTGAGGAGATTTTGATGGAACTCGAGGAGCAATTCCAGGGATCTTTGGTATTGCACCGGTGGATCTGACAGGTTGTACTGGAGGAGTTGTCGCTGTAGTTGGTCTCTGGCGTGTGGGTCCAGTCGAAATAGCTCTCGGCGATGGTCTGGCCCAGGACATCTGGGATGTCTCAGGTCGCGCTGGAGTTCTCATTTGCTGTCTTGGAGTATGACAGACTGGGGTTTTCTGAACAGGGCCAGCGAAACCTCTTGGTCTTGGGGGACGTTCGAGGATTGGTTGATTGACAGCCATATCTGGTCTGTTACTCCTCTCCAATTGCATTTTTCTTCCACCACCTCTTCCGGTGATCAGCATTCTAGACTGCATCATTGGACGATTTTCATCAAAGAAATTGGGGTCATACTGAAAATCTCTCACTTCTTGAGAGAAATTTGGGCGCATACCAGGCCATTGAGGAGCACCACTTCCTGGGGTAGGAGGTAAATAAAGCGGTTCACCAGTGTAAGGAGGAACACGTAGAGGTATGCGGGAACCTGGATAAGGGCATGGTATTCGGCTACGCGAAGGTACTTCACTTGTCTGAATAGTAGATTCACCTTGACTTCTTCCTGGTCGAGGAATACCGGAAGGCCGGTTCGAACCGCATATGCATCTATCCATGATTCCTCAAGCTACTACCTGATTTGGTTGCCTCTTCGATTTGATTTTCTAGAACTTTCGTTTTACGATATCTTTGCAGTTGAATAAAAAAATGGACATATGTTATTTGCGATATGAACTGCAGTTCAACTGGTAATTTGGAGATACACAAATTTCATATTTGAGTATGCACTAGAATTTTGACAACATATTTGACAATCAGTCAAATTTTGTTGAGTCATTTGTAAACTGAAGGAATGCTGAGATGTAATAGGTACCCATAAAAAAGTCGCCATATACTGGGTGGGATCAAATATAATAAATGTCAAGTGTAGTGATTTTGATAGTTTTCTTGTAACAAGATCTATTAAGTGAAGCCACAAATGTGCTGCTGGCTCCTGCTGGTGGCTCCGTGCATTTGTATTTCTTTTTTTTGGTAACCAAGTGTTACCCATCCTTACACTTGGCAGCACCATACTGATGATGGGCCAAAAGTCCGAAACACTCTATACCAAATCGACGGTTTCCATTCATGATATAAGCTATCAACTAAACTGCTTCTTTCTCTTCAATAGAAACATAATTTGCTTCAAATTGATTCATTGCAGTTTGTTCAATCTCCTGGTCTACCGTTTGAATTCTCTGAATATACAGTGAAGTGCTTGTCACCTTTCTCCAACATTTTCTGCAATTTCGTACCAGGACCACAATATTGATGTTTGTTTGAAGGTGGTTGACAATGTTTCATGGTGAATTTCATTAGTTTGGTCTTACATTGTCTGATCTATTCTAATATAAATGTGAATGTTTTTGAGGATGGATGTATCTATGTATGTTTGTGGCTTATACATCAAAATAACATATATGCTACAATCTACAAAAGTGTTGTGTAATTTCGGTCATAATATAACGGTAAGTATTAAGTGAGTCGAAAAAATTCTTGCTCCCTCATAGCTATCTTGGCCTACGCTGTCTATACCGTTGGAGTTACATGCAGATAATGTACCGTAAGATTGTTTATCTTAAATAGTTCTAAACAAAAGTCCGCGATTGTATATATCTACCTCTTATGTGATTGCCACTATATGCAAAATACTGAGCCACAAATACAATTAAATTGAATACTTTTTCACAAAGCACTTATCAGAATATCTGTCAAATTCTTATAAAAAATTGATACAATTGTCATTTTAAGTATTTGATATAGATAAATTTTGTCACTTACACTAAGTAATTTGGACGAATCGCAGTAAGCCATTACGCGTCGCGTCTACTATAAGACGACGGGGGACGATGTGCGGTGGTAGAGGGGCGGTCTAAGAAATGAAACGACATCGCCAAAAACTTAACCCGCACGCGAGTAGACGCGTGAGGGCAGACATCGTTGACGGCTGTGTTAGTTTTGCGAATTTCTTTATAGGTAATATAATTCGATCTTCGAAGCTATTAATTACTTAATGCAGTTAGCATATTTTTCCAGTTACTGTATTTTTAAAGTAAAAATATAAATTACTAGCTGTTGACCGCTCTTATATTACCGTAAAGCCGAAGATACCGAACCTAGAATCTTGAAATATGCATGTAGGTTCTCTATATAGGGTTAGTAAGCTTCAAGAAAGGGAATCAGGACTTTCCACCCTCAAGGGGGAAAAATAGGGGCGTAAAGACTTAATTGAAAATTCGTCACTTTTGAAGTCGGAAACCTGAAGTTTTGGATTAATAAGAAAATATCGTAACTATTTGTTCAAAATGATCTGTCAGGAAACCTAATGTGACAAATCAAATTCTACGCGGGCGAAGCCGCGGACAACAAGTAGTATGATTTAAAATCGTTTGAAATCCCTGAATGAATAAAACTAAAATGGATAGCTGAAAATAACAATATTAAGCAAACAAAATACAGTTGAAAATCGAACAATTCGAAAGAAATATGAATTGAAACGTTTCAAGCCAAGGTACTTCACGACGTTTCGATTGTTAGTAACCACAATCATCTTCGGGTGATGACTGATAGTCAACAGTGATGACTGACTATCATATTTCAGCATAGGACGTCATATGGATTGCTCCTAACTGGCCCAGACATTTTCTTGAGTTACGATACAATTGATTCGAGATAATTTAAATTTTATTTTGAATCACCAGATGTGACAAACAAGCATTTCCGAAATATGTATGCGAAATGCAGTATCGGTCAATACTGGAACACCCCAATTAAAAAGGAGACAAAAAAGTCATTTGCTGCAGAAACTATTAATAAAAGAGTGTCGAAACCGAAAAAGGCTATTTAAATAGATCTTCAACATCAACACCACATCAGTTTGACCTGTTTGTCCTTCTGGCAAACATCAGTCCAAAGGGCAAAGGGTAGGGGAGCCAGGTTCCAACCTGTCTAAATTCAAGATGACCTTCCGCCGTCACATTTTGTCTTTTTTTCACATGACCCGTTTGTCCTTCTGGCAAACATCAGTCTAAAGGGTAAGGGAGCTAGGCTCTAACCTGTTTGAAATCAAGACGGCGTGCAGTATAGTATTTTGTCTTCAATCGAGGACCGCCTGCCCGGTACTGACAATGCCCAATAGGCTGAAAATGCTGTCTACCGCTGTCAATGATTTCTATGAAATATAAAAAAACACATCAACAATAGTATACAGGGTGAGACATTTTGACATATTCACATCGCACCCCCAGAGCACTTCACCAATTTTTTAAATGGATTACTCTATATAGTTTCGCATTATCAGATGCTCCATGATGAGCAAATTTCAACAAAATATAAAACATGTGGTCTGAAACTTATGGTTCTGAGCTACATTTTCAAGAAACACACACAGCGAGGGGAAACCAACAAATCAGGAATAGCAGACCATGTTTGGACCCATCAACACAACGTCGAGTGTCATATTGATTTCAATTTAAGAGCCACCGGTAGACAGCTGTTTCAGCCTATTGGGCATCGTCAGTACCGGGCAGGCGATTCTTGATTGAAGACAAAATGTGCCCTGAAGTAGAAGCTTCCCCCCTTTAGCTAATTAGCGAGGAGAACCTACTACCCCACTCCATCCACCCCCGCTCTCCTAGCGGTCCTCTACTTACTGATGGGCACTTCAGCAAGATTGACATCTGACCTCTTTTGGTCGAAAGCCAGCCTTTAGGTTCTTTCCTTTCGCGATCGGTTAAAGTATTTTGTCGTCACTATTTCTAACTGAATTTTTGCATTGGGGCCCCCAAAAACTAACCGGCGGCTATTGTTATTAGCGTCGAGCGTTCCTTAGTAAATCTAAGGATAATTGAATCGCGGTCGGATTGTTCTGCGGTGAACATACTGAAAGAGAATTTATCTGATTACTATGCTTACCTAAGTCGCCTGGCGGCGACTCGTGGGGATGGTCGTTCCTTTCTCGATTTCATATCATTTTTAGAAACATGTTGATTCGTTTTTCGATGAAATTCCAGGTTAGCTTCCCAAATTCCTGCCACCGCAGTTGTCGGTTGATTGATCAAACCACCAACACTGACATGAGAACTTGGTAAGTTGACTTGGGTGTCACACCAATAGGTGGTTCCACTTATGTCTCGCTTGCGTTTACGCAGTTATTTCTATTAAGTACTTTTCTTGGTTTTTAACATTTTGGCATTAGTCAGAGAAGCTATGGATTATACTGTAAACGACCCCTCCCGATATAGAAGGCCCCGACACTCTGTCGAATGAGCCCCCTATATCTTCCGTTGAAAGATGAACAACTTTTCCATCCAACTCACCCCAGCCAGGCAGGGGTACACCGTAAAGGGCGGTACTGATGTCTGAGGACACTCATACCGCCATAACATCAACACCACATCAGTTTGACCCGTTTGTCCTTCTGGCAAACATCAGTCCAAAAGGTAAGGGAGCCAGGTTCCAACCTGTCTGAATTCAAGATGACATATTCACATCGCACCCCCAGAGCACTTCACCAATTTTTTAAATGGATTACTCTATATAGTTTCGCATTATCAGATGCTCCATGATGAGCAAATTTCAACAAAATATAAAACATGTGGTCTGAAACTTATGGTTCTGAGCTACATTTTCAAGAAACACACACAGCGAGGGGAAACCAACAAATCAGGAATAGCAGACCATGTTTGGACCCATCAACACAACGTCGAGTGGTCCCAAGCTGAGATCTTACACAGAGAGGAACATTGGTTTAGGTGAAAATTCAAGGAAGCAGCATATATGTTGTCCAACAACGTATTCAGCCAAGCCAGCGTAGAAATACGCAACATATGGAAACCCATATGTGAAAAATGGCCAACACCCGCCAAACAGTCATCTCCCACTAAACCAGTGAAGCGGAAAAAAATTGAAAGCGAGGATAAGTGAAAGTACTCAAACGACCCATAAATAGTCCTCTCGGAGGAATCAGTCCAGTCTCATCACCCGAAGACGATTGTGGATACTAACAATCGAAACGTCGTCAACTAACTTGGCTTGAAATCTCTTAACTTTTTCATTTTTATCTTTATTTTCATTTTGTACTTCTTTATTTTTATTTTTTGTTCAGGTGTTTCATTTTTACTTGTATTTCACTATTATTTCATTTCAGGTTTTTTTTGCTTAATATAATTGTTATTTACAGCTATTTATTTTCAATTCTTCTTTTTAAGTTGTTTCAGGGATTCCAAATCATTTTATATATTAGACAATGGAAGTCCGTACTAGTGAAATTGGCTCAATTCTTTCTAAGACATTGCTGAAGCAAGCTCTCAACCATGTCTATCCGGTTTCAAACATTTTGTAACTCTAACTTTAGTGATCCTACTGAAAAGCAAAGAATTGGACTTAGCCTACAGAACAAATAATGATTTGAGTAAATTATTGAATTCGCTTTGAATTCCATCCTGCCATTCACTGTTGAGAATTGAATTAGTCAACTGATGAATTAGATTGCTTCCTTTTTCTCTCATAAACACATAGAGTAAAGAGTCGAAAGGGATACCACGTCCACAACCAAAACAACATAATAGATCGGCTCACCATTCTGAACTTCAGTAGTTATAGTAATATTAGTAGAAAAAATCGATGCTCTTTCAGCGAGATTATCACTTGGTTGTGTTAATAAATGGCTAGATGACGAGGGAGAAGAGGCCCCCAATGTTGCTGAACTGAAGACATTGTGGTCATTGGAGAAGACGTGGATATTGAAGTCATAGCGTGTGTAGTAGACCATGAAGGCGCGGAAGGAGATGCCGATGAGGTGCTGGTATTGTTGTGAAGGACCCGAAGGACCACGGGGTTGAAGGAATCGAGGGCAATTCTTTGAAAGACGCTGGCACCTCAATAATATGCATTTGATGGTTGAATGCCAGCGAGCCGAACGATTGATGGTCACATCCGAATGTTTTGTTAGTGTTGGTTCCGCTTCAAAGAAAATAAACTGCATGTTTTATATTCAATCATATTTAATAGTCTTCATCAGAGTAGTAGCCCATCCATTTATATTCAAAGTGTGATTTGAAATATGCATTCCATGTCTATTATGTGATTCTAAATGACGAATTAGTTCTATTGTCATCATTATTGTTATTTTTATTATAATAACACTGAAACTTTTGGTGGAAAAAAGCCTTCCTCAGGGCTGTATTGACTACTCAAATTGCAGATAGTCCTCAGTCACGAACCGGACATGTGGCTACAACTGTTGATAATACTCCCTGTTTCATGGCCGCATGTCGTGAATATAATTTGCGGGCGTTACTGCTGAAGCGGACTTTTATGTTTTCGTATAATCAAATTTGACACAAAACTACTAATTCCGGAGTCGAATCCAAGATTCTTCTTGTTTATTTTCATGCTCACTTGCAATATACATTAAATGGAACTTCTTCATGGCAAGCATTGAACCAACCCACATTAAAAAGATAATGTATTGATATATTACTGAAGTTTTGTCCCAACACCAAACCGCTATTTTTAACACCTCGACACGTGTTCCAATCATCAAGTTATCAGCTTCAAGAGAAAGATTGAACTGAATCTACATACAATGTTGTCCTCATTTATTCTCTGGATACTTCTGCTAAGTACATGCATCTTGATTGTCTTCATTTCTGAGCTCTCGCAAATTCCAGACTTTTCCAAATTCTCAACTATATCCTTTGGATTTCCTAAAAGGCTCTGTAGTGTATGACTTGATATACTTATAATGGGATAAAACCCGAAACCGGTCGTAAAAATAAAATAACTAATGGAAATTAGACAACATTGTTTTCATTCATTTCATTGAAGTCAAAAAGATATCTTAGCATTCATCGCAAAATTGAAACTATCCTGCGAGAAAATACATTCAAGCGGCCTGACAAACCTCTGCAACAAAGTCCAATTTTTGTTTAGTGTTGATTGTTAGATGAGTTATTGCCTATTTCAAATGAGGTGTGAACATACTATTGTCTGTTACTAACTGGGGTACCCAGTCATAATACTATTTCCACGCATTCTTCAGTTTTTCTCTACACTCGTTTTTGAAGAATCAATCTCAAATATAAGTTTCGTTCTATGATCTTTTCATGAACTTCAGTTTTGCATGCGCCTTAACGGCTCATAAATCAACTGCTGCAATTATAATTGTCGTTGCATAAAAAAAGACCAGATAATAATTCATTGCCCCAATTATTCTTAAGTTTTCAACTAAAGATATGTTAACTTACTGTTGCACCAATTTCATTGAATGTTACTTATCAGTCGTATGACAGAAAATTTCAGATAGCAAAGATCTAGTATGGTGAGTGTTTATAACATATTGATTATACGAATCTTCAGTGTGGTTTTGACTGCTGTCGGTTGTATAGCTTCCAGAGATTCTTTTAAGGCCTGAGGCCTGATTAAGTATCAAATTATTTTATTTCAAGATTTCCACTTGAGAGTTCACAAAAGCGCGATAGGTTTTTCATTATGCCCAAAATAAGTCAGCCCAGCCAGAATGAATGGCAAACAAACACTTAGGTAATTGGTACAAATCTGATTGCAAAAAATGTTACTGTACATCAATCTTTGCAAACTGATATAATATCCATAAATTAACGAGATTTTGAATAAACTTTGTTTGCTTTACTTGAAAGTATTCAGCTGTTAATGAAATGTCCTAGGTTAAATTAGCTTTTAGGATTTACACTTACTATGAAAAAATTTCAACTTTCAATTAGTTACACAAGATCCCTATGTTTTTGTAATATATAGTTCAAATATTTCATTGAAGCCTTATACTACTTAATANATCATATATCAGTTATTCAGGTACCAAGCAAAAGTTGATTGTGAAATTAAATAAACTACAAACCATTTTTCATTTAATTCTATTGATTCATACAAAAGTAAGTCACAGATAAAAACAACAAAATGTTTGATGTAATCAACTTCAAGTTTCTCTATCCATCCATTTGAAGTTAGCTTCATCTTCAGCCAAAAAACTATCTGATAAGTCTCCTGAATACGGAGTCCCGGGTGTGATATTTGGCGTAGGTAACATTGTAACAATTCTTCTCTGTGATACTCTGTGAGTAACACGCCTCTGCGGTGTCTCAGTTGGGGACAGCGCCCCAGGTGGAGTGAAACCTCCCGGAAACGATTCATCAAAAATAATTTCTTGAGGTGACGGCGATCGACCAGGGCAAGTTCTTTCAGGTGATATTCTCCCAGGAGACATTCTCCCAGGTGTCCCTTGAGGTGTTCTGCCAGGTGTTCCTTGAGGTATTTTTCCAGGTGTTCCTTGAGTTGTTCTCCCAGGTGTTCCTTGAAGTGTTTTTCCAGGCGTTCCTGGAGGTGACGGTGTCACGGGGAATACCTGTCGTGGAGACATAGACATTGCTCGTGCAGGTGAACCTCGAGGTGGACTTCTTGTGGGTGATAGTTGTCCAGGAGAAGGTGGAAATTCCATCGTCTCGGTGCCAAAATCATCTTGTGCTCCAAACGAATGGACAACTGTACTAGCCCATAACTGGGCAGGTGGTGTAAATGGAGACCTCAAATCAAACCGTTCTTCAGGGGTTGAAGGTGGTACCATACTAGGCGGTGGTGACACTCTCCTAGGAATGGCTTGGAATTCTTGACTTCTCCCGAGAGGAGACACTGGTTGAACTTTTAAGTGTTCCGGTGTTGTAATACCGAGAGTGAGTTGTGGTAGTGGTGGTAAAGTTGGGGAAATACCTCCCTCCACTTCAATGGCATCAAGATGCGCTAGCCTACCTTGCTTAATATCATCTATGACCCGTTGCATTTCGTCTCCTCTATCAACTTGAAGTGGTCTAGCATGGGCTATCTCTGGAGATACATATGTGTCAGCCCAACTTGTAGGTTGTACAACCACTCTTTTTGGGAATGGAAGTCCATGAGGATCAGTATAAGGAACAGGAGAAACATATTCTCGTATTCGTGGCATAGGGGGCACACGTCGTCTTTCTAGTTTTTCTCGTCTTGCCTCTCTTCGCTCTTCCGCTTCTTTTTTTCTTCGAATGAAACTTCGAAGCTCTGCGAAAACTGGATGTTGGGGTTCCTCTGGAAGTAAAGAGAAAACGTTGGTCACACGTTATACGAGATTGGCATGAATTTGACAGATGAGTGTATGATCCTCGTGAAACAACCCAAACATTTAAATTTCCCAAAACGTAAAATTACATGTAATATAGGGAAAACAGTTATTAGATAAACACTGTGACGTGGAGCTGACAACAAAGCTTTTTCCTCGAAAAGTTTCATGAAGTGATCATTCACCAGTGGACTGAAAGGAAAAACACCGTTGATCTGTTTGTAGTAATTGCCATTCCAAATGAAGTAGAAGAACTTCTGCACTTGTTAGAAGAAATCTATAATATATTCAGGAGAAAGATATAATAATGTCCAGCGTTTCAGATACGGAAATTAAGAAAATGTCAAAGCTCACCAATAGGCTTCGAATTTGCTCGTATGTCCCATATGTTGGCGGAGCAGTGATACCAGGTATTTTGCAACTAGGTAATCGGTGGAGTTGATAGCACTGGTTGGTTATCAGACGTGTAAAAACGCCAGTTCTGTGTATTCTTGGTAATTCCTATAGGGGAGTTGGTGAAGCTTTGGATCTGATGGTGTCAGAACACGAGTTGTGAGGTCCCAATTGATACAGCAGTGAACGGTTGGTTCTAGAAACGATTTTCTCGTTGTGAGCCACAATTTGAAGTTCTCAAGGTGGACTTGGTTTATATTTTTATAACCTTGGCTGCTTCCAAAGATAAATAGCAGATGCCTAGTTGACCTATATTCATAAGGTTACTGACGTGATTGGAAAAATTCCCAAAAATATCGGGTGAAAACTCAAGCCAACTTAAAAACTGTCGAAGGGGGTTTACCTTTTTTCAGATTCCGTTACGGAGTATGAGAACTAACTTAATCAAAAGAAAATGGAAGATCCCGAGTCCTTCCCACCACTTCCCTCTGGGACTATCACTAACATACCATCTAGGAGGTAGTAACACCGTGCCAACCACCGCTGAAGATGCTCATCGCAGTAATGTCAAAACATTTGAAGAAGGAAATCTTCTCACTGGACCATGCTTACTAAGCCTAGATAACCACATTCCACAAGTACCCTTTCGCTTAACAGATATACATCAAAATCGTATTAGTGAACACTTTCACAATCGAGACCTAATGAAAAATTCGAAAAAGTTATATTGATAAAATAAATAAACATATAACGATGGATTGACGCCGAGTTTAAATGCCCCGTTCTCGAATAAGGTGTATTGTGTAATCTAGATAAAATTGAGTAAGTTACACAGCTAACGTGACTTAGAATAACTATGATGCTAGGTGTTTCAAAGAGTTATCAACATAGGGTATCCAGGACACGAGGCTAACAACCATAGTAGTCGATGGCGTTGACACCAAAGGAGAGATAGTAAAGAGCAAGCCTTTATCAACAAGTTCCAAAAACTTTATATCAATTCAAACACATCAATTCATTGAATTATAATTTTCAATCGACCATTTCTGGTAGTTTCCACCATCATAAAAATAAAAATTGCAGTGGAGAATTTTATCAAGTGTAGAAATGGCAACCCGAATAAATTACTGCGTGAATTCAATGTATTTTTCGTGAAAAAATTGTTTTATTCATCAGAAACTTGTCGCAATAAATAATTATGCCTATAAAAAAAGTGTACACATAATTATCATAACATTTCAGAGGGTCTTCAGAATTGAACAATATCTAATGTTCGAGGACGTTTAAAAATTGCAAGTTGAATTAGATTTTTTCCAAATCTGGAAACGAAAGTAGATTTCAGCCCCCGGAACATTTCCTGTACAATTCCTTAATATTTCCCTCGAAATTCTCTTAAAATCTTTATTTTCGTCCCCCGATGAACAACAACTCTCAAAAGTCGAAACGTGTGCGAGAGAACTAACGATAAGTCTTATCTTTCAACGTGTGATTCATTGAATATGACAAGTTACTGATGAAAAGAACGTTTCTTAGAGTGAATTTTTTTTTAAGATTGTGAAAGGTGAAAACTCCAAAAAAAGTCGATCAAGCATTCTGATTATCTACACAATAATAACTCTTTCGTTCTATATATTTAATCATTTTTATATTAAAATAAATCGTTTTCAATAAGAATATATAATTTCGTTCTTAATAATACAAGCTTTTGTTTCATATAAATTGTATAACATAAATTGATGACTTGGGGATAATTTTATTTTTCAAGCAAGTAAATTAAAGCTTGTTTTTCAAAAATATTTTTCAAGTAATGATTCATGTTTTTGTTACCGCTGGACACACACTCCCAATCATTGTCAGCCATCTTGGGACGTCATTTTATTTTTCGTTTTTTTTTTAGACAAAATTTTTATTTAACACCCATATTATAGGTATATGTGTATAAAAAACTAATTGGCCATGTTATGTTTTGTTATTTCTCAATTTCACTGGAGTTTAATCCCAACACAAAACCGTTATTTTCATCACTTCGACACGTGTTTCAATCGCCAAGTGGAAGATTAAACTCAGTTTGAAATCAGTTTAAGATTTTAAGATCAGTTTAATCTTCCTCTTGAAGATGATCACTTGGTGATTGAAACACGTGTCGAGGTGTTATAAATAACGGTTTGGTTTAGGAATCATATCATGGGAGTGCATGATATGCGAGTCATTTCGAGCGATCCTCCATATTCGATGTTACAAACGCCTCCTATAAAATATCTGGGATTTTTTTTAAATTAACACTTTATCAATTACAATCTGTTAAAATCGATTAGCCCCTTTGAAGTAGTGATCTATTTATTGAAGTTCTATTTTATCCAAATACATCAGAATTCTGATCAAAAATGGACCAAATTATAAACTAAAAGACATTTTTTTCGCTCAAGTTTGCACACTGCATTTCAAATACCAATATTTAGATGAACGTTGACTCCTTCAATAATAATGCTTCATCTTGATTTTACGGAATCTGCTTATACTTATTTTAGGTGGAAAGAGACCCCTTCAAGAGGTAGCTTTAGATTACTCAAAGGCCTTTGACTTATTAGTCATGGTTTTTTCGTATCAAGATATCATAATATGTACTCACTTTACTTTCATAACACAATTTCGAAACTGTCAATTTTAAAAAATTCAAATTAATTTTGGTCCTCCCCCTAATTTATTTGGAAATCATGATCATATCTCTCATAAAATATTTCATATGGAGTGGATCACTATGAACACAATATTTTATAACATAGTGCACACAATATTGAAATCAATATTTCATATGCAGATATTGGATTCTGCCATTTGTTGGGTTAGGTTAGTATGTCTTGTACTGAGTATTCTTTCAATAAAAGCATTTATTACCAATATATCGGGTGTCCCACATTTTATGTGACAGGCAATATCTGGTTTGTTGAAGGAGATACACAAAAATGTTTCATACACAAGTTTTAGGAGTTCATGAGAGCTATATTTTGATATAATTTTTAAATATACAGGGTGTTTGGTGTAGGTGCTACAGACCAAAATTCCATTTTTTAAAATAGAACGCCCTGTATATCATTACAT